AGCATAATTATAAAAATAGAAAGATTTTTGCTCTAGCACTTATTTAAAAGTTGCTACTTTAGGTGTAATTGGATCTTTACGTACAGTACACATATTGATCTTTTTAACTGTATAGACATTCACACAGGGTATACGGAAATTCGCCCGCACTACTTCTTGAAGTGATTCGGAACTCACAAAGAAGGAAAGAAAGCTATATAAACATAGATCTGGAAATTAGTTGTTTCTGAGTTATAGATCTGAGTTATAGTTACTTTTGTCATTTAAAACATCTTATTTAATTCTATTTAAATACCTAGTTATGTTTATCTTTAATTTTGAAAATAATTAATTATTGTGTTTACAAATACCGGAAAATTAAAAAAAATTAAAAATTGGAAAAAAGTTAATTTTTAAAAAATGTAAAAAAATTTTTTTAAGAGGGATGCTAAGCGGACTGTACCTCTACGTGGTGCATCCTGGGTAATGGCCGGAGCACAGACTTTTGCATAAAGCATAACGCATAAGCATAAGGAAATTGATTGGTCCATTTCCTTATGCATTTGCTTATGCTTATATATAGACCAATCAATTTCCTTATGCTTATGCGTTATGCTTTATGTAAAAGTCTGTGCTCCGGCCTTAACGCTAAAATAGTCCAAAATAAAGCTCTTTATATTAAAAGACTATAAAATAAATTATGATTATTATAATTATAAAAATTAATTTTTTTGACATAAAAGTGGCTATAATTTGGAAACAACTCATTTCGGGACCTATGTTTATAGCTTTTTTCCCTTTTTTTTGAGTTCCGAATCACTTCAAGAAGTGTAAGAGAGTTTCCAAACGCCCTATAACTACATGTCCATTATTGAGCAGATGTACTATTAGTGTGTGTATGCTGAGGGAGTAGATAAGGATGATGTGAGTGTATGTATGTATTTGTGTTTGGCTATTTCATTGGTATGTCTGATATTATTTTATTTCCATTTATATTATTCTATTAGTATGTCTAAATAGTATGTGTGTATATGTGTGTATCTGTATATCCGAGTAGATAGCAACTGGCCTGATTGTACATTCTTTCTGTCTGTAGTTGAACACACACACACACACATACACACTCATTCACTCACATACTTTTTGAACATAATAATATTAAACATATTAATTGGAATAACTATGGGCACAAATACACATACAGATACATATACCCTCTATCTGTTCCTCCTATACACACATTAACATAAATCTACTCAATAATGAACACACATATAATTTGTACATAAATGCTTATACAATTAAACAATCAATCTGTGTACTGTACGTAAAAAGTACTGTACCAAAACACACAAGCAACATTATGTACTTACTTTGTGTCCCACTAGCTGTGATGAAACTGATGCGTATGTATACAGATATGTATAGGTATACCTCTATGTTCCAGCAGATTCCAGCAATATATTCCTTTTTAAAAGTGAAAGCCAATATTTCCTTTTGGCAATGTTTTCTTTTAGCAGTTTCCTTTTGGCAACGTTTCCTTGTGGCAACGCTATAACAAAATATTAATTTCAAGTAAGAATATGAACAAATACATATCTTTGATGTATATCAATAGGGTGGCACCCAATTGACCACATTGCAATTGATTCACAGCTATCAGTGCCTGGAATTTTTCCACTAGATGGTTGCTGTGAATGGCCTATGGTCAATCGAGAGTACCACCTTTGCGAAAAGCTATATAGAGGTAAAGCTATATAGAGGTAAATATACATGTAGAGATACATACGCTAGTGCATATCAGACAATTTTGTCACAGCTAGTGGGACACAAAATAACGAGCAAGTATAATTGGACAACAATTTATATTAAGTTTTTTTAATTTACTTTGATTTTTGCTTGTTCGAAATATACTTTGATAAATTATTCTTTTATATTTGCATTACGTTGATATATGCAATGTGATCGATCGGATGCCATCCATATCAATGTAATGCAACTATAAAAAAATAATTAATCAAAGGTTTCAAACAAGCAAAAATCAAATTAAATTAAAAAGACTTAATATAAATTGTTGCCTAATTATACTTACTCCTTATTTTGTGTCACATTAGCGTGTGTACTTCAATAGTCTATGCGTTCAAAAAACAGACGTACTTTATAGAAGATAATTTACGGCTTTTCTTTGGCAACGCTTCAATAAAAACTTCAAATACAAATACAAATAAATTTTACATCAAATATATTAGATCACGATAAAATAAATCACAAGTTTAACCGATAACCAATTTGAAGGTTAACTTGCGCTTGTGATTTATCTTATTGTGAAATAGAAAGAATATTATGAAAAATATCTTTCATGTGTGTAAATATATTTTATATAAATTTATTCTCATGTGTTTTAACAAAGGAGGAAAAAAGGATTACTTGCGATTATAAAATTATATGCATACTTACGTCGACATGTGGCAAGAGACCGCAGAGATCGCAGGAAAGAGACATGTGCCGGCAATTACATATCCAAGATGGCATTGCTATTCATATCCGCTAATAAGTCAATTCGCGCGTATTTCAAAAGTATATTCTGAAAATATACGAAAATATACGAAAAATAATATATTATAAGAGATATTAAAAGTATATCCTGAGAATATACGAAAATGTACGAAAATTAATATACTATAGGAGATAATAAAAGAGTATATCCTGAGAATATACGAAAATGTACGAGAAATAATATATACTGTGATAGATATTATAGGGATATTTTCAGTATTTTACATATATTACGTATATTCACAGTATGAGTACAGAATATTCGAATGATGTCATGTGCTGTTAGGGGAAGATGCTGTATTGTCCAATATTGCAGATCTGTTACAAAAGATTCGTTGCAATAATTTGATATCATATAATTTGATATTTTTGAAGGTAAGTGTATTTCGATTATTCCAAAATTAAAGAAATAAAATTTCTCATATTTTAGTAAATCTCAAATTTTTAAGTAATAATAAGAGTGAGATGAGTATGATCAGTAAGAATGTGTGATCAGTATGACACAGTATCAGTATGATACAAAAAATTCTACATAATAAATATATAATTCTTACTTTGATATTTTCATTGTAGAACACAACATTAAAATACATCACATATCAAAATTGTTAACAAATAAAGATATGATAAATGAATTTATTCCAAATATTGATAGACTTAACTTTATCAAAAAATATCAAGAATTTAGTTTACAAAAAAAAGAAAATGTGAGTTTTTAGGCTAATTTATTCAGATATTTGTGAAACTATTTACCACTTATTAATACTTACATATTTTATTTTTTCACTTATTGAATATTTACATATTTTATCGTCGTTAGGATTTATGTATCCTTCAAGTGGAAAATGATGGGTCACTAATTCCGTTAATTTCAATAATCCCATTAAATAAGCATTATTTACAAGAGAAAGATCTCACATCTTCGACTGTTAGTACGGATTCCGTTGTTAATACTTCAGATAGTGATGATACTGTTGTAGTACTCGAAGATGAAAACAAACATGCCATTCCTATGAAAAATTTTGTAAAAATATCGAAATGCCTAACTTCAATTTAATTCAATTACTTGAATTATCTCCAATGGGAAAAGCTATTATTTATTTCTATAATAATAAAAATTGTTTAAATGATTGCCTTAGAAATAAGCTTATTGATATAATAATGAGGCATTTATTCCCATTTCATTGCAGACAGTAAGACCATTTATATCATGTCCATTACACATAATAAGTTATAGATTTTACAAAATTAAATATTATATATTAAATATATCAAATATATATAATTATCTTTTAATAAATGAAATATATCTGCAACTACATATATTTTTATTCTTTTTATACAGTTTTGTGTTGTTTTTCAGGCAATTAAGTCACAAAAATTACCAGTCAATAATAGCAAAAATAAAAAATCTATTTCCTAACGAGCCTTCAACAATTTATTATATACTTGCAATACGAAAACAAGATTTTCCAACTGGAAAAACTATTATATCTAAAGGAAAATTAATTGATAAAGCTAAAAATTTGATTTATTAAGGTGCCCACATAGCACGAAATATTACGTAAATATTTCAGTAATATTGCAATATACCAGAAATATTACGCATTATCGTACTATATTACAGAAATATTACTGATATATTACATGTTGATAAATAACATTGAAATATTACAGTAATATTGTAATATATTGTTGCAAGATAATAAATAATACATATAATTAGAGCGATGTTATTGAGACGTTATTAAAATATCAAATATATTGATACATATATATTATATATATCATATATATTTACACATGATTTTTTGGATGTGATACAATTGTATGTAATATTGGATGTGATACAATTGTATGTAATATTGGCAAAATAACAAATTTGTCTTTGTATGGAATTTTATAAACTTTAGCGCATATGTTTTGATATAACCATGATTCTATACATTTGTTTTGTTTGACTATGGCTATTCCAAGAAATTGTGATTCGCATGGTATAGTGAATAAACTTGTATCGGGTATCAGTTTTTTTCCTATAATGTATATATTATTATTTTTACTCTTGGCAATATTGTAGACGCAAACGACAGTATTGTCTTTCAATAAAACACAGTTATTTTTTTTGTCGTCACATTTTAAATGAAATGAACCTAAATTCAATATTTTATATTGTTCTTTATATTCATGTTCACAATCCAATGGACCATCTTTATGATTTTTCTTGAGAAAAAATTTTTTATTGCGTATTTCGACTTGACTGATAACATTTAATTCATAAAGCCTTTTAGTAATTTGTTGAAGTGGTTTATCTCCTTTTCGAACCAGTTTTTTTAGCTGAAAAATGTAACTTTCAAATTGGAATGCGCTAAAACCATCTAGAGCACCAAATCGTTTTACATCCGATGTTAAATGTAGCAAATTGTGCACGTTATGAGAAACATATTTAACTCCGTAAATTGTTGTAAAAGACTGAACAAAAGTGTTTAAAAGCTTCTCTGCATACTCAAGTAATTGAGGATTTTTACTATGTTCAGTGCTGGCCAAAATACGAATCGCAATATGTAATGTCAAAAAATTTTCATAAACATTTTTATTGAGTATGTTTTTTAAAATTATTGGACCTGAATATAACAAAAATTGTCTAAATTCTGTGGCCTTCCATAATTTAATAAATTCAAGCGATCTTGGTTTTCTAGGAAAGTCAGACGGCGTATATTCCTTTAAAGTAAGTAATTTGTCTGAAATTTGTTGTACAGTCAAGCTAGATAAACGTGTATTTAATGGTCCTCTTAACCATAAAAATATCAATTTCCTCATGACTCCCAAACACACTAAATGCATATAGTCAAGAGTCACATTACTTACTGCACCAAAATAAGGAATATTTTTTAAAATGGTTTCGCCTATTTGATAATTTTCAGAGTAACCAAAATTTCGAAATACTTCGTCGTCTCTTAATAATAATTGATTCTTTTCCATTGGAAAGCAATTAGTATATTCAATTCGATCGCCATGAATTAAACATTTTGTGCAACTATCATAACCAGTATGATTCTTTACTTTTAAGATAAATGCCTTCGCTGGGGTATCACATACCAGAGCATGCAGTCTGATTTTATAACATATTCCATTATATACATATCCAACATTTATTAATGGTATCAGCTCATTTACAAAAGCTTCAAGAAATTTATTTGAATCTGCTGGTTTGTTTTCACCGTAATATATACCAATAACTCGTACTTTTGGTAAAAGCTCATCGGAACACAAAATAGGCCACATTACTTTTCCACTAGAAATTCCAATTGGCGCACCATCTGTAGATATTATTAAATTTATTATTAAATTATCAATTTTTGAATTTATCCTGTCCTCTATTATTTTACAAATGGCTGGTTCAACTCCAAAATGAGAGTAGAAACCTTTATCCATAGAAGTAATATTTGTTGCTCTTGGAGTACACATAAGTGTACGTCCATCTTTAGGAAGTTTTACATTGCTTCTTTTCTTTAAAATTTGCAATAAACTTGTTAATGCATTTATATGTATTTTATAATCTGCAGCCCATTGTGTAATTTCGGACTTAAAGTCATTTTCTTCAAGTTCATATGAGGTATTGCTTGCAGCTTCACTATCTCTTTGATTATTAATCTCGGTATTTTCAATATCAAAGTCATTTTCTTCAAGTTCATATGAGGTATTGCTTGCAATTTCACTATCTCTTCGATTATTAATCTCGGTATTTTCAATATCAAAGTCATTTTCTTCAAGTTCATATGAGGTATTGCTTACAACTTCACTATCTCTTCGATTATTAATCTCGGTATTTTCAATATCCTGAGTATTTTTAACAGCATTTTCGACATCCTACATAGAAGAAATCAGGTACAAATTAAAAATAAAATAATCACGTAATTCTTTTTTAAATAATTAATTATAAAAATAAAACTTAAGTTTGTGTAATATTTTATTGAAATTATTGCGATTTTATAACAACATAAAATTTTCATTTTCTTTCCTATTTATAATTTATACTTACATTTTCTTCATTTTCTGATTGTATTTTTGATTCATTGTTTATATTATATTTGTTTAAAATTTCCTCGTTCATTAATTTGCATTTCTCTGCGAGCATTTGTACATCATTGCTGCTATGTTGTGAAGTATTCTTCTTTTTACATGTACGTGAATTGCAAGAAAAGTCTATTTGACCGTCATTATTATTTGCTATATTATAAACTCTATTTCGTTTAACCTTTTTATATATTTTTGTAAATTCATTTAAACTTCTTTTATGTGCTAAACGACGTTTGTGTCTATCTGTGTAATCTGTCCACACAATTTCGCCATCTGTTTCTTCACTAGATGACATGTTGATGAATGTCTAGTGTGTATATATATATATATACTATTA